ACATGTTAACAAACAGCCTACCCAGATCACCATTTTCACCGGTGATACTACAAAACAATTCATTATTGTGAAAAGTACAACAAACACAAAAACAAAACAAGACAGGGTGGACCGGGTGGTATTAATGACAAACTATTTAAACGCTAATTAGAAAAAAAGAGAGGGGTCAATAGTTTACATCATCCAACAACATATACTTTTTAAAAAGCCTTAAAAAATTAAATTAATAATTAAAGCAACTAGACACTTTGATAAGCTCCAAACATTTCCAATAACAGGATTTTTTAAAATAAACATTCTCTCTAATTCTAATCTAGTTAAGACTAAAAACCATTTCATATTAGGATGAAGGTGAAGGCCGGAACGGCCGGAAGTTTATATGATAAATCTTACTTTAGTGACTTAGATATTGACAAGTACCGGCAGCCGATTTAGATCCAATTACTAAGGAAGCTGTATCGTCGTTGGGCATTGTAGTTTAGGGGTTAGAAGGGAAATAATGTGGACTCGATGAGAATTTAAAAAAAAACAAACAACATACGTCAAGGTATTTTTTCAGACATGAAACTGAAGTACATTTACAATTTGTCATGATTTTGCTGTAGTGACTGCAGTTAAGTCTCAGGTCTGCTACTTGCAACCAATCGCCATCGGTCCATTTTATTGTAATTATTTATATTGTAAAAACATGCTTATTAAATGCTATAACCCTAACCTACGGCTTAGGCGTTATAATTTAATGATTGTGATCACAACTTTTTTACAGTGCAGTATGCCTACTTTTTATAACCTTTATAATTATAATAATGTATTATATAATAATATATAACTTATATAGTTTTATAGACAATGACAATGAATGATTAAAATTGCTAATTAAATTAGATCCAATGCAAGACCAACTAAGGTTTCTTGCATCCTAGGTGTTATCTTTACCATAATTATCACACCATCACATTAGAAATCATAATCAGAGCCAGACTGTTTAGTAAGTAGTTTAGTAATTAATATTTAGCATAAAACCAGGTACTTCAATTTTAATTTACCTAAAAAATTATTATTATTCACACATCCAATAAAACAAATGGTTCTTTTGAATAAAAACGTTTAATTCAACACAAAAATGATCGTACATTATACATTATTTCACATTTTCATTAAACACTTCACACTTCCAATAAAACAAATGTTCTTTTGCATTAAAACATATTTACTTCTTTTAAAGTCCTCCGCTACTGTGGTGGTCAAATTTGAGCAATATTGTCTAGAATGGCTTTGAATACATTCAGCTTTGAAACGTTGATGCAAAATGAACCCACACATATAAGAATCTAGCAAATGTCTGTGTGTCATTGTTTATCTTTTGCCAATTTCAGCGTATGTTCGATGCGTTGAGTATTGGCATTCCGTTAAATTTGTAGTTGTTAGCACATCGTCTAACAGCATGAATAATATCGTGTTGTTGTAGAAACAAGATACAACTGACTTCATTGTGAACTAATGCAGAAATTGTTAAAGACTTCATGGTGTCTACAGAAGCAGTTCTATTTATTAAACCTCGTCCACTTTCAAAAAGTCCCTTAAAACCCATCTGTTTAGGTCCGTGTATGACCTATGATGCACCCTCCTTGCCCTGCCTCATTTTCTGTCTCAGGTTGATCCTGTATTTATGTATATGCCAAAACGTGCCAAGTGTACTTGTTTTTATAGCCATTTTAATGATTTAGCTACTGTTTTTATAGTCATTCTTCACATTGTAGTTACTATTCTAGTGTTCTCTAGTTTTTCATTTTTTATTTTACTTTAGCAGTTTAAATAGTTTACATATTTTTAATAATTGTAAAGCGCTTAGAGCTGTAAGGTAAGCGCTATACAAAAATGCCTAAAATAATATTAATATAACTGCATAGACATAGAATGGCAGTAATGATAATTTTTGCGGTAAATTAAAATTTAAGTACCTAAAACCATAAGTCTAGAAAGTATAAAGTATATTCTTCATTTTCTCCATTTGACTGTCTTAACCAAATGTTAATTTTAGGTTCTGCAAATGACCTTAACTAAACATATTGTTTTTGTATTTGCAGAATATTAACACTTTGAATTAGCATGGCACTTCAGAAATTTAAATTCAAGTGGATTGAACATTTTAATTCAATATGGGTAGAGGAGGACTGCGAAAGCTTAACACTTAAAGATGATTTAGAAGGACTATACCAACGGCTAGTGACAAACAAAGAAATAGTATGCATTCCTCCGCAAGCCATATTTCTCAAGGGCCCAACACTTCCAGACTTCAGTTTCAGCCAAGAACCATACAGCCTTGATGAGCAAGAACATCTTATCGACTCCCTTCTCTCAAATCAAAGATTTCTAGCTGAGGTTGTCAGCAGTAATACACCTTTTGCTCAGGTATACATACATTTTGTATATGATTTTGTTAATTTATTTTCTTCTTTCCTTCATAACATTATATTATCATGTTTATTAATCAATTAAAATAATCTTTGTGCTAAATTGTTTCATTTTGCACTTAATTAGCTTAATTGTATTTAATTCATATTTCATTAAAAATATAAAAGATTATTTATTATTCTCTTTCATTTCAAAGATTCTCATGAAAAGAGTGCTTGTGCTTCAGCGCATGTATTATGCTGTTTCTCAAAAGTATCATGCCATTTTAGACTATTCAACAACCCCCATAGTTGCAACATTAGATACAAAGAAGAATCTGGGACAGGAGCTTGCTGAAATTTCCTCTCCTTTGGGCAGTGATGCTCTCATTAAAATTGGTGTGAAAACAGGCCTTAGCATGCTATTTTCTTTGTTTCGGCAAAATTGGGCATTGGCTACCAGCACTGGGCAAGTCTCCTCCTGCAATGATGTCCTAATAACAGCTTTAGATGTGGTGTCATCTTTACCACCTTTGTCATTAGCTAATGAAAATAAACTCACATCATTAGGTAAATGCATCAACTTACATCATTTTATTTTTTATATATATATATATATATATATATATATATTATTCTTTTTAAATTGTCATTATTATCGTAAAGAAAATAGTTGCATGTTTAAAGTTTTGAAAGATCCTTTCTAAATATTTTAAACATCATTGATTAGGTTTTAAGGTACAACATTTTAATTCAAGCTGATCTTTTTGCAAAGTTACAAAAAAATGACAAATTAAACTTGAAATAGATGTAATTAATATTGAGTATGTCAGACCTGTTTACTCTTACGATTTTGGCATACAATGTACGATTTTGAGGTGTATGCATTATATATAATGCATTATTATTTTTGTACTATTAAGATAATGTATTGAATGATTTTTTATGATATTGTACGATTTTAAGAGTTTGGGGGTATACAGATCTGGTATGTTGAACATGGATAAAGATAGCATCAATTTGAGCTTACTTGATGAGTGTTCTGGTTATGACTGGTTAAAATGGATGAGATGAAAGCTATTTAAAAATTTTATGTGTAATAGAACTAGAAGTGTATTGATTTTAATTTTTAAAAATAAATAATTACTTTATAAGGATCTTAAAATGACATGTACATATTTGATAGGACTCATCCAAATATAAAAACAGAGACTCAAGAAATTAAATTCAAATTTTCTCAAGCAACAAATAATCTTTAAAATAATAAGTCTTAAAATTAAGAATAAAATAATATTTCTAACAAATAACTCTGCTTCATTCAAATATAGGAACTGAATCATTAAACTCTGTAACCAAGTTTCTTAGAGTTGCCGCCACACCCCAGTCAGGAGCCGATTTACAAGGCCAACAGTTGGCATCTCAACTTATGTTAGCCATAGCAATGCAGAGAGGCTTGCTTCATCACCTCTTAGACTGGGTGGATCTAGCACTTAGAGTATCAGCAACAGCTCAAAGCGAAGCTAAAAAAGGAGTGGAAAATAAATTTGGTCTTACAAATGATACATTCTTTAAAGCTGTGCTGGCCCAAATGATTGAAAAAACATCAAGTGGTGTAAGTCAGGATTAATGTTAGAGCTTATTCTTGTAGAAGATTGGAATTTTACATCTATTCAATATAAAAACGGCAAATAAAAATCTCTTTGTTAAAGTTAATCAAATCCTCTATGTTAGGTGAAATATCATATTATTTTTCTTATAACAGGGCAGCTCTGTGCGCGTTCCAAGAACCTCTCTGTCAGTGGACCAATATGGAATGATACCTATGTTTGAAGCAGCTATGTTTCTTCTAGAGGAGGTAACATTGTATTTGAAACCCCAAGCTACCTTCAAAGTAAATTAATTATATAAATCTTAAAATATTCCTTTCATGAATTGTTTAGCTAATCAGGAAAGTATTTAAAGTCTCTTTCACCTACCCCACTTTGAAATATTGACAATTTAGATACCTGTATTTATGTTATAATTGGGGAACTATGGATTAGTTCTTTCAGGAGCTATGGATTAGTTCCTAGGGAAGTTATAAATTAAAGTAATCTTTATCTTTGTCAAGCTTCACTGTGCAGCAGATGAGTATTCCAATACTGGGAGTGGACCTATTGAATACAAGCCCACAAGTTTAGCAGCACCTGGAATGAAGTCAACCCAGAGCCCACCAGCAAGTGTGTTTGTATGGGGTAGCAACAGCAGTCATCAGCTGGCTGAGGGCAGCCAAGAGAAGATATTGACCCCCAAGCTCACAACAGTGTTTGCTGACTGTCAACAGGTTAAAAGTCTATTTTTCTAAATGTAAAAGTGGTTAACTACTGATTGTTCCAGCAGAATATGATAAAAAGTATTATAAATGTATCTAAAAAGATGAAACCTAGAAATGTTCTTAAATGGAAAAAATAACCATGTTACCAAGTATCTACAAAAAACCATTATTTGTATATAAACAATTTGTATAAACAGCATATCTTAAAATGTATTTCAAAATAGATTTTTTTTTATTATGTCTTGTTCTAATGTACTCGAACAGGTAGAGGCTGGTCAATTCTGCTCATTCCTGCTGCACCAAGATGGAAGTGTGAGTGCTTGTGGGAAGGGAAGCTATGGCCGCCTTGGTCTAGGAGACTCAAACAACCAGACCATGCCCAGAAAGTTGACTTTCGACCCACCTGCAGTCATCAAAAAAGTTTCATCATCAAAGGGCTCTGATGGTCATACACTGGCACTCACATTGGAAGGAGAGCTGTTTAGCTGGGGGGATGGTTAGTCAAACTGGTGTAACTTTTTTTAAAGCCAGGTTTAGGAAACTGGTCGATTACTCCTAAAAGTTGTCAAAGTAATTTTTTTGGTGAACTTTTAATGAGTGTGTATATTTTAGAAAATTAATTGGTGATAGACATAGGTGCAAAAAAAAGCTCTTGACTGTTGTTGTTATTTCATATATTAAGTTATTTATCAGATGATTTATTTTTCATCAAGGTTAGTGTTAATGCCAACTCTCATAATTATAATTCATGAAAAACAATACTTTATTAGTCAAATTTACAAATTATATTGTTACTATTGACAGAAAATAAAGTATAGAAAATAACTGCGTACGTGTATATTTGAATATTTTGATACAAATTTGCAATCTTTTTTAGAAAGAAATTAGAAATTATCCTGTGAACTTTGATTAAAAAATCCAGAACTTATTGCTTGATTTTTATAGTTTAAATATTTGATGATATTCTACAAACGCCTTTTTAGTTTAGGATTTAAAAGTATATTTTTAATTTCTTTTTCTGTTCAGGGGACTATGGAAAGCTTGGGCTTGGTGGAAATCATACACAGAAAAGCCCAAAACTTATTCAAGGTCCTCTGGCTCAGAAGGTAAGAAATAATAGATTGCATGAAATGGTGAATGACTGTGTGCTGCCCAGTGTCAGAAAGTAACAGTAATCTGTGCAAATCATATTATCCTATTCTTTTATTTAGATGTGTCGGGGGTTATGAGCCATAAATATTAGTATCTATGTTCTTTTTGGCATGTCTGTTTCACCCTGTGTTATTTTAGTGTTGATGACATTAACTATTAGAAGTTTATGTTACTTTCATAGGTTGTGAAAAACATGTCAGCAGGCTACAGACATAGTGCAGCTGTTACTGTAGATGGACTACTCTTCACGTGGGGAGAAGGAGACTATGGTCGCTTGGGTAAAATTTGATTTTATATGTTATCAACACTTCATGATATCAATAGCCCAAGCTATAAGAAATGGTTTCATCATAATGACAATGCACAGGTTTCCATACTTTAGAATAAAATGCAAGCTAATATTTTTAATATGAACATTACAAGTACTTGGTATGATTTAAACATTTTCTTTAAACTTAATACATTTGACATTGTGAAATATTTATTGGTAGAGAATTTAGTTTCTGTAATTGTTTTTTCTTCTCTACACAGGTCATGGTGATAAAACATCAAGAAATGTACCTAAACAAGTAAAAGACATTGGGGCTGTGGGCCAAGTGGCTTGTGGCAGCTCTCATACACTAGCAGTATCTCAGGATGGCAAAACAGTTTGGTCGTTTGGGGGTGGTGATAATGGTAATAATTGGACTGTGCTTGAAATGATCTTTAAAAGAAAAGCCAATCCTTTTTAAATGATCTTGAAAGAGATACACTTTAAAATTAATTCAGAGACATTTTTAAAATTAGTTTTTGAATGTTAAAGCAAAGAAATAAATAAGGGCTGTTACTTCATATAGCGATAGTTGTTGGAGAATTCAATTTTGGCTGCTACTTTTGTAATGTAAAAAGTCAAAAGGACAAGCACTTTAGAAAATTAAAATATAATTAGTCTTATGAAATAATAACATTTTGTTATGAACATAATTAGGAATGTCCTAAACAATGAAAAAAGGTAGAAAAGAGAAGAAAAATAAAATAAATTGATTGAATTGGGTTAAAACTAACATATGTAATAAGATAAGATTCTTTTGTTGATACAAATAGATAATAGTTTTTAAAAATATTTTAAAGCTTAAAAGATTCAAATGTAAAGAATTGAACATTGGTTTTATGTTAGGTAAACTTGGCCATGGTGATATGAATCGTCAAACCAAACCAACTGTGATTGAAGCTCTCTGTGGAATGTATATACGTAAAGTGGCTTGTAGTAGTCAGGCTTCTCTAGCCCTTACATCAACTGGTCAGGTAAGCTAAAAATCATAACATTTTGGTAATACTAATTGATGTATTCTGCAATTTTTTTGCACTTCCAACAGATTAACATGTTGCTAATAAACATATAATTTTATTTGAGTTGAAAAAATCTGTCATACACTATTTTTGTTGGACTAATATCTCATAGGTTTATGCCTGGGGCAGTGGATCATGTCTTGGGTTCGGACTTGCCGATTTCACTGCCATGTCTCCCAAACTAATTGAAGACCTTCAGGGTACTCGCATCATGGACATAACTTGTGGTGACAGTCACTGCCTTGCTCTATCTCATGGTAATTTTTTGTGTTCTGCTGAATGAATGATGAATGATATGGTAAAGCTAAGGTCTCTCCATAAATGCCACAGCACACTTCACAAAAAGAAAATTGAAGCTCAAAACAGTGTAAGTGAATAATATTCCAAAAACAGTGCATTCTACGTAAATAATAATTCTCTTGTGGCTTAACAATTGTTCAAGTTACACTTATTTACGTATTTAGTATTTTAATAACAAATGCAGTAAAAATTGTTAACATAAAAAAGACTAAGCACTATTTTACCTGTAGTCAAATTAATTAAGTTTTTAATAAATTGTAAACTCAGCTTTAAATACTTATTACCATCAATGATCATATTACCACTAAAATTTTAATCTTTTAAAAAAGCTTAAGGTTTTTAATGTTCATTCCAGAAGTGACTATATTTTTTTCAATCACTTTTTTATACTATTCTTACTATTTCTTCAAAAATGTTTGAACACAAAATTCTGTAAATACAGAAATTTGTGAAATATGATTTTTGTTGCAAGAGAATTTAACTTAGTTTGCACTTTTTTAGGATGATTTCACAATATATTCAAAACAGTTTCCTTTTAATTAACCTTTTTTTAAATAGACAATGAAGTTTTTGCATGGGGCAACAATGCTATGGGGCAATGTGGACAAGGACATGCCCAGAGCCCAGTAACAAGACCCCGTAAAGTCATCGGGCTTGAAGGTGCTCACATTCAGCAAATCTCTGCTGGCACATCTCATAGTGTTGCTACTACCGCTCTTCCATATGACCGGTACGTTTATAAGCTCATTTTAGAGAGATTCACTTCACCCTGGTTCATAAAAAATGTTTTTTACATTTTCTTTGTAAATTCAAAACTTTACCTCTAAACATACAATGTTAATATCTGTTTATTTCACCACTAATAATTTTTTAATATAACAGCCAGGTGATAGCATGGCATAGGCCATTTTGTGTTGATCTCCAAGAAGCAACATTTTCTGTACTCAGCACATTCCTTGAGCGGTACTGTGATGGCTTTGATAATCCAGAGCCGCCTCCACCATTTGCAAACAAACAGTATGTATGTTTTTTTTCTGTTGATTGAAGGATTACAATTTTTTAGCATGAACATTAAAAAGAAATATCTAAAAAAACTTCAGTTTCTGATGCTTTGATTCCTTGATATGAACTGAAATAGCCTTGCTAAAATAAAATCTCTATAAAATCTTAAACCTATTGCTTGATTAAAATTTTTCACCTAATATTTTACAGACAGCACCAACAGTTTGTCTTGCTGTGTCTCAAACTGCTGTCATCACATCTTTCCCTTGCCCTAACCTGTGGTCTTGGTAGCGAAGTTCTAGGAAACCAGACTCGGCCACTGCGAGTTTTGCTCTTCAGACTGGTAGACACAAATACTCCAGAACCAATTCAGAAGGTAAAGCTTGCTGTTTAATTCGCCTGCACATCTTGTAATGAAACATTTTCACGTTCCGATGATTATTGTTAAATTTAAGACAAATATGAACTAAAACAGCGGTTCTCAACCTGTGGGTCTCGAACCCTTTGGGGTTCGCACGACCCTTTCACAGGGGTCGCCTAAGACCATCTGAAAACACATATGTTCTACAGTTATAAAGTATCAACGAACATAATTTTGTGGTTGGGGGTGGCCACAGCATGAGTAACTGTATTAAAGGGTCGCGGCATTAGAAAGGTTGAGAATTACTGAACTAAAAGAACACATTTGTTAAACAGTTAGAAAATTAGTGTGTCAATATATATTTCTTATTGTCACTTGAACAACAGTGTCATCAGATTCCATAAATTTTATTTTGATGAAAGTTTCATTGAAGGAAAGAAAGATCACTTTAAAAACTTTTTTTGCCTAAGGTTTTATTATTGTTATATTTTATTTTAATTCACATTTTAAAAAAATTTTCATTTTCTGTTTTTGTGTTTGAACTATTCATCAAAATGTGTTGATCATGAACAGCACTATTAATACTATCTGTTAACCCTTTGCCTCCCCAATTTCTGTATGCAGACAGTTATAGATACTCTTTCCATCGGTGCTTCACTACTTCTACCCCCATTACGTGAGCGAATGGAGTTGCTGCACTCTCTGCTTCCTCAAGGTCCTGATAGTTGGGAATCACTTACCAAGGGCCAGGTATGTCTAGTTCATGTCTGCCTTAAATTAAATGCTAAAGAAATAATAAAAGATTTAAACTTGCGTGTTCTACATAAATGAACCCAATAGTAACTGTTAAATATTAGTACTTATCTAATTAAATATGAATTCTCATCAATGATGTTTTTAGGAAAAATATTACCTTTTAATTGTGCTGTCATGTTTTAGCGTATGCAACTGAGCATCATTTTGACGAGTTTACAAGACAACCAACACATTGCAGCAGTACTGGGTTTGTCCAATCAGAGAATTGATGGCTCCCCAGGCCCAGCGGATAATGCTGTGTCTGAACTTCACTTGGCTGAGCTTCTAATGAAGACCATCTTAAGAAATCTTGCAGCACATTCTGTATGTAGTTTTTACAGTTGAAAAGAAGTATTCTTAGCAAAGACATGTTTTCATTAGCTTTATTTAGATATTTATTTTCATATTAGAAATAGAGTCAAATAGCCCAGTTTAGATATCAACCATAAATGTATAGAGAACTTGTCATAAAATACTTTTGAGAATAATGTTTATAGAAGTCAAATTCTGATGTTTTGTGTTTTAAGATAGGGTCATGAAATCTAAATTATATAATTCTATGTCATGAGAGCAAACATTTTAAATTATAATTTTCAAATTTAATTTTTAAATTTAATTTTTCTTATCCTCCTTGCCTTTTGAACAGGATTTTAAAACATTATTTTGTTATACATTGTTTTGACTGAATCTTTTTTGAATTTTCTAAGGAGAGATTGCTGAATGAACTTGTCACCAACAACATTTTGTTGTCAGATGTTGGGGTTGACTCTTCACCACCTGCTAACCTTCATACATTGCTTTCCTCCCTCCAAAAACATTTGCTGGCATATTGTTATAATAAAGGGGTTTCAGATACCAAGGTAAATAGGTGTTGTAGTAACTTACACAAATAGCCCAAGAAACAATTCACTTGCTTGTTAATGTGAGGAGATTTTGTAAAGCAACACAACGTAAATTTTACAAAGAATGGTTGTTCTGTCATGTGGGTGGGGTGGGGAAGATTTCACAATAATAAGGTAGTTTGAACCTTGAATTAAAAGTTTTATTTTTTATTATCTTTCTAAAGGTACTGCGTGAGGTGGTAAATTCATTAACAGTACAAACTTTATGAGACAAGTTATGACTATCCTCAAACCCCCATTTTAATCCATAAGTCACTGTAGTAAATGTCTTTCATTAGTCTCGATCAACATGAACGTACCATATAAAATATATAGCATTAACTAATTGGCTACTGCTACTCTTCTTTGAAATAGAAGTAAAGTTTTGTTTGTATTTATTTGTAGCTGCCAGTAGTAGTACAACACCTTCATCAACATCTCCTACTGTTGCTGCCCGTTTGTGGTGACATCATTAATAATACAGCTGCCGTTGTAACAAAACTCAATGGTGTAGAGGATCTTGTTGAACAAGTTGAAGGTATGACAGTGCTATGGGAAAAAAGTTTGTAAATGTTTTGAATGTTCAAAAAGGTCACTCTCTGAATGTGTCACCAGATAATAACATAAACTTTTAAAGTATTTGTTAAAAATAAAATAACCAAATTCTGGGATTGAAGTGATCTATATAAATAGTTACTCCACTCAATGATTTAGGGTCAGTCTTTATCAAAATAGCATTTATCACTATTTTTAAACATTTTAGACAGTTCTTTTAAATCTCAGAAATAAATTTTCCATGAAATGGTAATAACCAATTGCTAATCCATTTTGTCATAGCACTAATTGCTGATAACAGAAGTTGATATGCTTTATCTTGACTAAATGTAGTCCTTTTGTTCTCCATCAGATGTTGTTCTGCAGTCACCTGCAGGAAAAATGTTGACCCATGTGCTGAATGCAATCCTAGTTCTCCCTTTGCCTTTAGTCATGCCTGTCTTGCACCAAATCTTGACCCTACTTCCACAACTTGATAAACTGTGTAAACTCTTACCTGGTGCTTCTTACCTAGAAGAATCAGAGCTTGAGTTTAAGAGAGGTAAGCTATAAATTTCACTTGAGTGGCTTTTATGGTTATTGGTTGTGTTCACAAATCAATAGATACATGCATTTAATAACAGTTTCTTTTTTCTTTTTTTTTTTTACATAGTTATTATTTTGTTAACCTTGAAAGCCCTATATGTGAATGTATGAGGAAAGGAATAAAATCAGAGTTGAGTGCAATCTCCACAGGTCAGATCACAAAAATCCAAAAAGCTACTGTATGGTACCATGGTAAAAATATAGTCTTAAACACATGCAACCCTCCAAAAATAACAGCAACTTTGTCTATCTAGAGAGCACACAAATACTTCAAGTCCATAATTGCTGGTGATTTTAGAACAAGCTATAAAAAAAAAACACAATCTGCCAGAAAATCTAGAAAATAATCCAACTGTTGAAAACAAAATAATTCCAAATCAGATCATGGCGAAAGGAAAAATGGCTATCATGATGATCATTTATGTTCATTGTATTGTACCTACCGGACAAGCTGCAGGGGGAGAAGGCATTCTATGCAGATGAACTTGTGATGGGGCATACTTGCCGACACATGTGTAAGTGCAAAACATCTTAACAAAGACTTGATCAGGCTCAGTACATGTTACGAAATGTGGAAACTGAAAGTAAACAAAACCACGACAGCATATTTGGTCTTCACAAAAAGCTGCAAGATAGCCAAATCAAACATTACACTATCCCCACAAGGCACCATACTCCAAAAAGAAGACAACCCAAGATATCTAGGTGTTTAGTTAGGCAACTTGATTGAAAAAAACACCTGGCCAGTACCTCTTGGGGCAGTGACAAGACCACATTGCGCCAGTTGCACAAAGTATATGTGCGATCAGTGATGGAATACAGCTTTATGCTACAGTCAATTTGCAGCAAGACATTACAGGTTTCTTTAGGAAAAGAACAAAACCAGGCAGTTTCTTTCATCCTGGGAGATCTAAGGTGTACCCCAACGGCAGCATTTGAAATAGATTCTAATATTGAGCCATTAAATCTTAGAAGAGAGGCAGCAGTTATCGAGATAGTTGAAAGGTAAAGAAGGCAAGGCAAGCAGCAGGCAAATAGACAACAGGTTTAAAAAGGGTGACCAAACCATAGAATTAATCATAAATCTATACTAGATGTGACCTCTGAAATTGAAGAGAAACACCTCATACCAAAAGACAGAGAAAAATTGCAAATTATACCTAAAGACCTATTCCCAAACCTTAATTTAAAAAAACATCACAATGGACCTAATAGAAAATATTAAAAACAAAAGCTCAGACCCATTACATAAAATGATAACTTTAGAAAAGACAATAACATCCTACGATCTGCAGTAATTATGAAGCAGAAGTGATTGCTATTAGAGCAGCGTTACACTACCTCACAGTTTATCCCAGCAAGCAAAGAAATGTTATTTTCTTATATTTCAAATCAATACTTCGGGCAGCTGAACATCAAGATCTCACAACTGTAAAATCATCAAAATAAACACTTACCTCAAAACCTATGCAGTCAACCTAGCCTTACAATGGACACCAGGACACCACAGGATACCAGGAAATGAAAGAGCAGACAAACTAGCAGAACAGGGAGCATCCAAATAACAGCTAAGCATACCTACATCACCCAACACTGCAAAGCAGATTATCAGAGCTAACAAAAAAGAATAGCGGTTAAATAGACCAGCTATGGGCTCAAAAAAATGTGATGGGTTTTCACACACATGACCAGTCCCAACCCCAAATCAATAAATTGCCTCTAAAGAAACGAACAAGTCATAATCTTTTGCCTGCTTACAGGACACGGTAAATTACGAGGACGAATTTCATCGAATTTCACAAATGTATTTCTAAATCGATCCCTCAACCTAACCTAAACCCTAACTCACTGCAACTATAATAAACACCCAAAAGACGCTGTGGCATTTGTCCTCAGATTTAGCCCAGGACACATACAACTTAATTCCCACCTCAACACCATGAACCAGATAAAACATCAATATACCCATCTGCAGACATGTTAATGAGACAGTAACACAATCATCTCTTCCACTGCCCAGCACTTCAAGACTTATACCTAAACTGCCTACCAAAAACACCAGACTACACCAAAAAAAACACCATCTATACAAAC